CCCCAAAACCCCAAAACCCCAAAACCCCAAAACCCCTAGTTAAAGATATCTAAAATTAAGGAAATCAAATCATAGAAAAATTAAAAATATTTGATTGAATGCCCTATCTTAATATTTAATAACTTAAGGTTAAATAAAATATAATGGCTGCAAATAGATTAGGATTGACTATCCTTGGTTAAGAAAGATATTAAATATAAGGAATTCTTTCGGATAATCCATATGGAGTTTCTTATATAGCATAAAAATTAGATGATCAGCAAAGAAAGATATAAGGAAAAAGAGTAGCACTTTAAAAATCAAAAATCCTAAAGTACGTGGATATTAAAATAATTGAGGATTTTACTATTGAAATGCTTAGACTGATGAGTTTATAAGCAACATTCTCGCTTAGACATCCAAATATTTTGGAAATTGAAGATGCCTATTTAACTTACTGAAATGAATTCCATATTGTCAGTGAACTGGCAGAATCTAGTTTAGAAGAATATATAAGTAGGAGATTGAATGATGAGAAGAAACCATTAAATACTTCTGAAATTGCTTTTATCATGCTCCAATTACTCGAAGGATTAGAGTATATCCATAATAGTGGCTTTATTCACAGAGATATATCACCAGATAATTTATTTGTCTTTAATGATGGCATTATAAAAATCGGTAAATTTGATATTGCTACTTTCGGAAACAAAGATTAAATTTCTCCTGGTAAACGATTGTATATGGCTCCAGAGATTTAGATTTATTATAAAGAATTTCCATCTCCATCTCCCATTGATAATTCGGTTGATATTTGGTCTCTTGGAATTTTGTTCTACTATTTAATGATGGGAAAAGTTACACTTGATTATGAAAGATTTAATGAATAAAGTATAAATAAACTTATTTAATAAAAAAAATTAGAAGTATAATTGCCTGAATAATACTCTCAATTCCAAGAAATTTTCAACAAAATGACAAAAATTTAGCCTAATCTAAGACCTACAATTGAAGAGTTGAAAGGAGAATTTCTAAGACTTATTTAGGATAGATAATAGTACAACAAATATTAATGCTATGCTATGAATTACTATTTCAATCAAGTAAAATTAAGTGTTGGAAATTCTATGTAATAACTTAAAAAGTACGCAGAATTTCACTTTTAAAATAAATAACTTTAAACAAGCATTTTAATGTAGAGTAATATCAATGGTTTACTAAATGATTTTAACTAGTATAAAGAAACGATGTAGAATTTTTTGGAAAACTAAAATAAAATGAAAATATAATCAGAAGTTGCTATAGTTTAACTTTATTTTCCTCAATTAAATTGAAAAGATATAATACAATGTTGTAATTAATTGGATCTAAAAGAAATGCCATAAAAATTATCCAGTAATCTTATAGCTTACTAACCAGCAAACATATCTCTAAAGATTAGAGACTCGTTTGATGGATATCAAATTTTAGATCAAATCGCTCATGGGTTAAATGCATCAGTTTTCAAAGCCAAAGATTTGAAAAATAATAAAAATGTTGCTTTTAAGCAATAAGATCTCTCTATTTTAAACTTTCGCAAAGGCGAAGATCTTTCTAATGAAGTACTTAGAATTATGAGGGAAATTAGCAACTTTTCAACTCAAGCATCCAAATATTGTTGAAATTCTTGATTCATATCTTACTATTGATAGTAAATTTATAATTGTCAGCGAACTAGCAAAATATGATCTTACTGAATTTACAAAATAGAGTGGAAAAATGAATTATTCAGATATTTCAACCATTATGATTCAGTTATTAGAAGCTTTAGAAGAAGTTCATTGCAAAGGATTCATCCACAGAGATATTAATCCCTAAAATATTCTAGTTTTCGATAATAATATCGTAAAGATTTGCGATTTCGGAATAGCATCATTCGGCTCATAAACTGAAGCTCGGTTAGGAAAGGTTCATTATATGGCTCCAGAGGTATTAAGATCTAAGCCTTATGATAAATCAGTAGA